CTCTGTCTTCTCTGTGGGAACTTGGGCAAAATCAGCCTCCGTTTCTTGATCTGAAAAATGGGATGTTTCTGCTTAGCCCCTAAGATCTCCGTGTGCCTAAGCAAGTGAGTATGAATAGAGGCCCTGGTGCATAGTAGACGTCTGGACACTGTTGTTATTCTTGGGGTGACGGTAAGTGGAAGGGACCAGGAGGGGGAAGATGTCTTTACACGGAGGCCAGGACTTGAGCTTCGTCTGACAGGATGAGTAAAAATAAGTAACTAATAACAGTAGCAGCAGCAGCATCACCTTTTACTTTTCCCAAGATCCCCTACATCTGTTATCTTGTATCTCCAGGTCAACCTCTAAGCGAGACAGGATAAGAACTAGAATCCCTACTTACAGATTTGGAAACTGAGGCACATCAAGGAAGAGATGGTTTAGTTCATTGCTTCCAGAGGTTGGGATGCAGACCACAGCTGGGACACAGACTGGAACTAAATGACATGGAATGGTGTGTTGAGAGTCGGTCCCTTCTGAATTCTCTGATCTCCTGAGGACCCAGAGAGAACGCTGCCTGTCTTTTACCACTTTCCTAATGCAGGACAACCTTTTTTTGGAAGAGAGAAAATTATTGAGCCTTTAGGAAGTGACCAGCTGTCTCTAGAATTTAATGGCAGTATTTGTTTTCATTATTTTTTTTTCTTTTAAAAAATATTTTCTAGCCCTGTGGTTCAGTTGATTGGAGTGTTGTCCCATTTCCTGGTCAGGGCACATGCCCAGGTTGTGGGTTCAATGTCAATTGGGTTGTGTGCAGGAGGCGACCGATCAACGTTTCTCTTTCACATCAATGTTTCTCTCCCTTTCTCTCTAAAATCAATAAAACAACAAGAACATATCCTCAGGTGAGGATTTAAAATTTTTAAATAATTTATAGAAATAGAGCAGTAAAATAATTTTACATAAGAACTATTTATTATTTAGTTGTTATAATATTTATATAAATATACTTATATAAGATATATAATATAGCTATTATAATAATAAATATAAACATATTTATATAAATAAAATAATATAAAAACCACCCAATGCATTGCTGGTTTATTTTTGGAGTTTCATTGTATTTATGCCAGTTGATACAGATTTTTCCATTTAAAGTGATGACAAAATAATAACTGTAATATGAACACAAAAGTAGCAGTGATGGCTGTTGCTTAATGAGCGCTTACTAGGTGGCCATCCCATGCAGAGAATATGTTTATTTTATCATTGAATCTCCTTCAACTCTTTTAGGCAGGTACAATTTTACCCATGAGGAAATTGAGGCAGAGAAGAGTTAAAAAAAAAAACAAACAAAAAACTTGCCAGGTCACATGACCAGTAAGTGGCAGAGCCAGAACTTGAACCTGGGCAATCTGGCTGCATTCTCATAACCAGTATGGTGACACAGAGTCTCCATTTAAAATACAATTATGCAAGTCTTTAAAAAGTGAGTGGGTTTGAAAAAAAACAGTAAGTGCTAATAGTAAAAATGGCTAGCATATGCTAACATTCATGAAGGTGACCGTGAATGACTAAAGTTCCAAAAACAAAATGAAACACACTTAGGCCAACTCCATGTGCACACGAGGAAAGAGGCCCAGGGAAGGAAGGCAGCTGCCCCAGGTGGCACAGTGATGTGGAACCCGGGGGCCAATGCCCCAGGGAAGGCGGGTGGTGTGGGGAGGGCCTGTGGCGGGGGACGTGCTGCTTGATCGACTTAGTGTGTCTGTGCTCATGGATATTAGACGTGGTCCTCTAACTCCCTATTCCCATTCCCACCGCGATCATTAGGAGTGCACGGACTGGGGGTGAATAACTGTTGGAGCTTAGCCTTGCTTGGGGGAGCATTGGAAGAGTGTAAGGTCAATCCCCTTTTACTTGTGTAAGGTCAATCCCCTTCTCTGCTGCCAATTTCTTTGCAAGAGGGCTAATAAACAACCTTCCCTTTGGTCCAGCAGGAGTAGCCGGGCGGGTGGCTGACGGTGTAGAGGCTACAGGTTGGGGAGTTGGAGGAACAGGGGTCGCCAGGGGAGGGGTAGGTGGTGGTGCTTGTGGCTTTAAATCAGTTACTCCAGTTGGCCTATAGTCAGCAAATGCTGGTATATCTGCCTCTTTTTCTACAATGATACAGAGTGGTGTTCCTAAAGGGACACCAGGTCAGATGAGCCAACCAGTCTGCCAAAGTAAAGACCCTCCTCCCCCTCAGTGTGAAAACACCCCCTCCTGGGCACGTGCACTTTCGGCATCAGGTACCTGAGCTTACTACCAGGACAGTGCCAGGTGCCTCTTTCCTGCAGAGCGGGGGCTGTAGGCATCCACTCATTCATTCTACAAGCAGTGATGGGCTGTCTGGTGCCCAGCACTGTGTGGGCACTGAAGACACAGCGGTGACACTGACATTTGTCTAAATGCCCTGGGCTAGTGTTCCCTGTTTTACAGCCTCCTGGCATCTTGCTGGGCTCGAGAAATGCCATCTTCCTCCTCCTCTAAGGCCCAGTGTTATTTCCCTGTCTCCAGGGACCCCTACTATATACATGGTGATTCTTATTTATTCTCCTCTTCCTATACATTCCTCGATAGATGGTCTCGGAGCTGGGGTGCCCAGAATGGCCTCCATATGCTTCTCAAAGGTTGAAAATCATATCCATGGATTCTGTTATTGTATCTGGATGGACACCTCTGGCCTTGTCCAACTTGCCTATGTTACAGATGGAAAAACTGTGGCTGAGAGGGGAACATTTTGTTCCATTTTCCACAACATTTGCTGAGCACCTATTTTGTGCCAGGGACTGAAGACCCTAGAGCAGTGGTTCTCAACCTTCTGGCCCTTTAAATACAGTTCCTCATGTTGTGACCCAACCATAAAATTATTTTCGTTGCTACTTCATAACTGTAATGTTGCTACTGTTATGAATCATAATGTAAATATCTGATATGCAGGATGGTCTTAGGCGACCCCTGGGAAAGGGTCGTTCGACCGCCAAAGGGGTCGAGACCCACAGCTTGAGAACCGCTGCCCTAGAGCAATAGGAGCCAGTGCCTGCTGTGTCAGTTTCTATTGCTGCTGAAGCAAATGATCACAAACGTAGTAACTTAAAGCAACGCGAGTCAATTGTCTTGCAGTTCTATAGAGCAGAAGTCCAACGGGGGTCTCCCTGGACTCACATCAGGCGTTGGCAGGCTGCATTCTTTCCAGGAGCCTCTTGGGAGAACCTGCTGTGTTTTCCAGCCCCTAAGAGCCGTCCCCATTCCATTTTCAAAGCCAGCAGCATCGCATCTCTCTGACCCTTCTTCCATAGTCACATTTCCCTCTGGCTCCTGCCTCTTCTGTGCCTTCCTGCACTTTTGAGGACCCTTGTGATTGGATTGAGCTCACCTGGATAATCCCAGATGATCTCTTTATTTTAGATCAGCTGATCATCAACCTTTATTTCATCTGCAGCATTCGTTCCTCTTTGCCCTATAAGGTAACATGTTCACAGGTTCCAGAGACTAGGCTATGGGCATCTTAGGGGACCCTCATTCTGCTTACCATTCCTGTTCTCAGGGAGCCTGGAGTCCATTGAGAGAGTCAACAATCAGTGTGGGAATTGCTATGACAGGGGCACCGTAGAAGCCCAGAAAAGGGGACACCTGACCCAGGGGTGTACGGTGGGCGGGGGAGGGGTCAGAGAAAATCTTCTGGAAGAGATGACGGTGGACTTGAATCTTGAAGGATGAGAAGGAGTTAGCCAGATGAAGAGGGAACAGAAGTGGAAGGCATCCTGGGGGAAGGAACAGCATGTGCAAAGGCCTGGAGGTGAGCGAGGGAACGCATGTGCCATCGTGGCTGAAGCATGAGAGGGGCAGTGAGGCTGGAGGGGAGACCAGAGAGGCGGACAGTGGCAAGATCACGGAGGGTCGGATGCCTGGAGGCTGATGGTTTCTGAAGGCAATGGGGAACCTTTAAGGTTTTGAGCAGGAGACTGAGGAGGTCAGGCTTGCACTTGAGAAAGTCGGGGGTCCTGGTTGAGTGGCTGGAAGTGAGGCAGACTAGAGGTTGGAAGCCAAAGAGGAGGTGATTCAATGGAACAGGTGATGGGGACCTGAATCAGGGCGGGGTCAGGGGAGCAGAACAGAGCAGAGCGGGTGTGTTGGTGAGCTGTGGGAGGCAAGAAGACTGTACAGGTCATGGCCGAGGGCTGTTTGTGGGCAGGGGAGGTAGGAGGAGGGGGCAGCATGATAAGCAGACTTCTTGGCCTAGCAGCTGATTGGATGGTGGGCTCATTGCTGACATGGGGATGTGGGGGCGGGGGGAGTAGGTTAAGGAAGGTACTGAGTTGAGTTTAATATGTTGATGGTCTGTGTCTGATAGACCTCTAGGGGAGGTGTCCAGAAAGCAGCTGGATATACGAATCTGGGACTCATATGTTAATTATATAGACTTATATCAATTAGTTATTTCTGTGTAACAAACCTCCCCAAAACTCAGTAGTAAAAAAACAGCCACTTATTATCACTCAGGCACTTGCATACTGACTGGGGTTGTCTGATCTAGGCTCAGATTCACTGGTAGCTCAGCTTCAAAATGCAGGTCTGCAGGTCATCCAGGTGGTGGGATTGGCAGATGCTGACCTCCCCTTTCCCTCTGACCCTGACCTGGATGCCTTCCTTCATTCCTCCATTCCACCTTGGACTAGAGAATGACGCTTGAGCAAAGACCTGCAGGAAGTGAGGCAATGAGGATGTCTTGAGGAAGAGTATTCTAGGCAGAGGGAACGGCCGGTACAAAGGCTCTGAGGTGGGATGGTCACGAGTGGAGGAACAGGAAGGAAGCCAGTGTGGCTGGAGGAGGTGAGTGAGGGGAAGGAGCAGGAGAGGAGGTCAGAGAGTTACAGGGGCCTTAGTCATATGGGGCCTGGAAGGTCATGGGAAGTGGCTTCTACCCTTGTAATTACTGCTACTATCACTTTTATCCTCCTCTCCTGTTCCCCCAGGACCCTCCATCCCTGGACGCAGCCATCCAGAATGCCCTGGCAGGCCTCTACCCACCTTTTGAGGCCACAGCGCCCACTGTCCTGGGGCAGGTGTTCCACCTCCTGGACGCTGACTTCCGGGGGGACGGGCTGAGCTTCCTCCTGGATTTCCTGATCCCTGCCAAGCGCCTATGTGAGCAAGTCCGAGAAGCAGCCTGTGTAAGTCCCAAAGGATGCCCTCCAAATGGAGCAGGAAGGCCACTGGCCCTTTACTCTTGACATCCAGGAGCCCGTTGTGTTTGCACTTTCACTAGCGCGGAGGAAGGCGTGGATAAAGGGTCGTGTGGGTTCCCCGGCCCCCAGGAGCCTGCCTTGGGGTTGGCATTGTGGGCATTGCCAGGTTGCCTTGGCTGAAGTAGAACAGCTTCAATAGAAATAGCAGAGAATGTTCCAGACCTCCTCTGAAGCCCTTGAGGCCTTTCTTCCGAGATCCCTTCAAACCCAGATCTCAGGGAGGCAGCTCCTGAGGCAAAATGGGAAGAAAAGTGTTTTAGGCAGGACTCATTGACTGCAAATGATGGTTCCTTCCTCAGACAGGGACAGGGTGCTCTGGCCTCTGACCCAAATTTATCCACCATCAATTTCCTTAAGGACCTTCTGTCTCCGTCTCTGCTTCTCCTTGCTTGCCAGCATCATTCTTAGAGGCTAAGTGTTCCCACAAGGCTGGAGCCCAGGACCGCTCTGGCTTCAAACCATCTCCTGGAGGGGAAGATGAATTCTTTCCCATCAGCTGCAGATAGAAAAATTGCAAGGAAGGATCCTGATTGGCCAGGCTTGGGTCTTGTGTCCATCCCTGGACCAATCACAGCAGCCAGATTATATAAGATTATCGGGGAGGGCTCAGGCTTGATAGATGGGGAGGAGAAGGGAGCATGAGTCAGTAGGGCAATCCTCATGGGTAATGGACTTGCTAACTAGTGCCTAGAACTCAAGCTTTTCTCTCTTGGACCAGTAGGTTAGCAAGTATTTTTAAGGTCAGGGCCAGGACCAGGGTGAGACAAGAGGCATCAAAGGTACATGTCAGAGGCACTCACTCTCAGGGCTGTGCGACTTGTAGGACCCTGACAGCGGGGCTTCCTTAGATGCTACATCCTCGGCACCTCTCTGGCCTCACCTTAGCCCCCAACCTGTTCAAGATTCCTTCTTGGAGAGGAAAGGGAGCAGATCCACAGGTGGGGTTTTCAGGGTCAGGTTCTCTGACATCATCCCCTTCTCTCTGCAGGCCCCCTATACACACTGCCTCTTCCTGCATCAGGGCTGGCCGCTGTGCCTGCAGGACAAGGTTGTGGTCCACCTGGCCCCCCTCAATCCCCTCTTATTGCGCCAGAGTGACTTCTACCTTCAAGTTGAGTCTCAGGAGGAGCAGTCTGTCTGCATCATGATCAAGTGCCTCTCGTTAGACCTCCGCACAGTGGACACGAAGCCTGTTCCTGTGTCATCCTACCCGACACTGTTCACCCAGGAGTGGCTGGAGGCCTTCAACAATGACTTTGAGGGAAGTCCCCTACACAACTGTCTGGTAGCTTCAGAAGAGGGGATTGTTCCTGTGCCCTGGACCAAGATAACCAGCCCAGAGTTTGTGGATGACAAACCCCAAGCAGTGACTGTTCTCTCCCCGGCCTGGGGTTCCCTTCAATTAGAGGCACTGGATTTGAGTGGCCCCCAAGAGCTGCACCAGGCCAGGTCTCCAGGCAGCCAGGTGCTGCTTGGCCAGAGTTTGGCCAAGGGTAAAGACAAGACATATGAGATTAAGTACCCCGGACTTATCAAGGTGGAGCAAGCCAGGCCTGGGGAGGTGGCCTTCAGGATGGACGATGTGGCCAGCCAGAACTTAGAGGGAGAGTATGTGGCTCTCCTGGACTTTTCCCAAGAGAGCAGAGGAGAGCCTGTGAGTAGGGAGGTGGACACATCCCGTGGGTGTCCTATTGGGGCACTGGAGGAGCTATCTGGAACTAAAGGAATCCCTTTGTCCCAAAGGATGCTGCCTCTCTCAGGGACCAGTGGGGGACCTCCCCTGGGAAAGTGTGCTTGTGCAAAGCCAGCAAGCTTGGAGGAAGATCCCTGCGTTTTGAGCTTGAAGAGAAAGGTCAACCATAAAGCCCCCTCCCACAACTTAGAGCGCCAGCCCCAGGAGCCCTACCTCAACGTCCTTGAGAACCCACTGCACTGTGCCTCTGGCCTCAGAACAGATGTCTCAGAAGAGTCAGCTGCCTCCAAGAGGCAGGGACCTCTGGGAAACCCAGAGAATGTGGTCCAGCTCAGGCCTGGGCAAAAACAAGCATCCTGTCCCCAGCTGTGCCCAGCTTCTCCTCCTGCTGCGCCAGCCCTTGAGACCAAGATGGGAGAGAGGACCAAACAGGGAAGTGGGAGACTTCCCAAGCCCATGACTGGCCCTGGTCGAAACACCTCCTCTTCCAGATCCCCATCTCTCGGACTCAAATTCTCATTCTTGAAGGGGCAGAGGCAAGCTCCCGTGCCCCCAGAGAGAGCCTCGCTCCAGCATGACGGGCCCTGGAAGGCCTTGTGTTCACTCTACTCTCCCAAACCCAACCGAGCCAAGTGCTTGGAGAAAGGTAAGGTGTCCACTTGCAGAGCTGGACAGGGGAACTGTTCTCTGACCGGATCGAGTGACAAGGTGGTGCAGGCCGTTAGGGACAGAGAGCCACCTGGCTGCTCAGTCTCAGCAGTTCAGAGAACCAGGTGACATGTTAAGAGGCTTAAAGGCTTTGGTTCTGGAATTGAGCAAGGGGTTATGACTGTGTTTTGATGGCTTGAGTCCACACTCCAGGTTGGGTGACCTTGGTCAAGGACTTCATTTCTCCAAGTTCAGTTCTCCCTCTCTGAGCAATGGGATCTCACCTGCCTCACAGAGTTGGGTTTTTTGTTTGTTTGTTTGTTTTAAATATATTTTTATTGGTTTCAGAGAGGAAGGGAGAGGGAGAGAGAGAGATAGAAACATCAATGATGAGAGTCATTGATCGGCTGCCTCCTGCAAGCCCCACACTGGGGATCGAGCTGCAACCGGGGCCTATGCTCTGACCGGGAATTAAACCATGGCCTCCTAGATGGGTATAGCCCTGGACAACCACTGAGCCACGCCAGCCGGGCATCACAGAGTTGTTTTGAGGTTCAAAGAGACATCAGAGGGCAGGAGCTTTGCACAATGCCTGGCACACAGTAGGAGATCAATAGTTGTAAGCTATCATTCTCAGTCAGAAGGACATTCCT